CTCCAGGTGGGGTCTCACCAGAGCAGAGCAGAGGGGCAGAATCCCCTCCCTCGACCTGCTGGCCACGCTGCTTTTGATGCCGCCCAGGATTTGGTTGGCTTTCTGGGCTGTGAGTGCGCATTGCCGGCTCATGTCCAGCTTTTCACCCACCAGTACCCCCAAGTCCTTCTCCGCAGGGCTGCTCTCAATCCCTTTGTCCCCCAGCCTGTATTGATATCGGGGGTTGCCCTGACCCTGGTGCAGGACCTTGCACTTGGCCTTTTGAACCTCATGAGGTTCACACAGGCCCACTTCTTGAGCTTGTCCAGGTCCCTCTGGATGGCATCCAGTCCCTCAAGTGTGTCAAATGCACCACTCAGCTTGGTGTTGTCTGCAAACTTGACAAAAAAGGGTGCACTTGATCCCACTGTCTATGTCATTGATGAAGACATTAAACAGTACTGGTCCCAGTACAGACCCCTGAGGGACACCACTTGTCACTGATCTCCATCTGGACATTGAGCCATTGACCACCACCCTCTGGATGCGACCATCCAGCCAATTCCTCATCCACCAAACAGTCCAGCCATCAAATCCATCTCTCCCCAATTTAGAGAGAAGGATGTTGGGGGGGAACATGTCAAAGGCCTTACAGAAATCCAGACAGAGGACATCCGTAGCTCTTCCCTTGTCCACTGATGCAGTCACTCCGTCATAGAAGGCCACTAGGTTGGTCAGGCAGGACTTGCCCTTGGTGAAGCCGTGCTGGCTGTCTCGAATCCCCTCCCTGCCCTCCATGTGCCTTAGCACAGCTTCTAGGAGGATCTATTCCACATCTTCCCAGGCACAGAGGTGAGGGCTTTTCTGGCACCACTGGACATGATTATGTGCATACTCCCTCACCGAGCACGTAGATGCTTATTAACTGGTAAAAACCTCTCCATCGATGCTTATAAGGTGGCAGCAACTCCCATACACCTACACCTATACACCCTTACAGCATATATAGAGCATCACTGAAATCTGCAGTCTCCTTCCACACAATTCACCTTGATATATTAATCTACCTGCAAAGTCTTCCCCTTGAAGCCACGCTGCTGTGTAATTGAACTTATTTTGATGTTTCGTCACTGGTTGGAAATTACCACGTAACTTGAACAGCAAGAGACTTGCACAGAATTGGTTAAATCAAGAAAATGCAGCCAAACTTAAGGACTACCAAGTTAGCTTGAATGAAGTGCTAACTAAATTAAGCGCATTTTCTTTGTTACTACCGTACAGACAGTAGCACTGAGAAGGCGTAGTCAAGTCCCAGATTCCCACTGTATGGAGGCGTATGAATAAAAAGCAGCAGCATCCTGGCCCCAGGGGCTACAGAGACAACAGGAAGACTAAGAGAGCTGGGTTGGGGTGGAGACCAGGGGAAGGATGAAATCGTGATGTTAGCATTGTTTGCATCTCGGGCCGTAGCGCCAGCATGCCACCCGCCTCGACAGACACCAAAGATCACAGAACCCTCTTTTTGTTTGCTTTAGAAATCACATGAAACACATTGTAATTTAGGTGTCTCACTTTAGAAACCCAGCCTAGAAACGAGCGAGCTTGTAATCAAGTTCTGCGTTTTAATTAATCTTGGCAGAAGCGATGGAAACGTTTCCTGAGGTTTGGTTTAGTTAAAACAGAGGGATCAGCTGGTCCCAGCCACACCAGGAGCGTGGTGCCGGCCCCCCGCAGCACACTGCTGAGCCTGCGCTGCTCGGCTGAATTTTTCAGCTGAACGCTGGAAGACAGATCTCATTAACTAACATCTTAGTGGAAGAGTCATCTTGTTACAAGCAGATTGCGTGCACGTGTAGAGGTTGATTACACCACGGTTGGCTGTTGAAGGACCGATCTGATAAGGGGTGAAAATACACCATGCACTTAAGACAGGAACTCTTGTTATTCAGCTCGCTCTCGCTCAAGCCAACAGAAACCCAGCGTGGCGTGCTCGCGGAACCGGGCCTCGAGGCCAGATGGGTATCTACCACCGGGATAATTCCTGCCTCATGCTGCAGCAAGTTTGTTCCACCTACTTGCTTTGCTTTTTCTCAGGTCAGATGTTAAGAACTAGTCAATACACGTCACTGCAGGCGAGTTACAGTCAGGATGCTGTCACGAGCTAGGAATATACGGCTTATGTATTGAATTAGTATTTTTTGCACAGTATTTCAGAAGTAGAAGGTTACTACTAAATTACAATGTATTCTGCTTCACATACTGAACGATCCGGCGTACCGAGTTTATGGTTTCTTAGTGAACACAGAGAGAAACTGTAATTACTGGAGAGTAATTTTCCCCAGTTTTGTATTCACAGTTGTACTCTTTCTGCCCTAAAACTGCATCTCAGCTTTCACTTCTGCAAAGCTCTTTCCTGCTTAGCTTTTATGAAGGACAGATGAAAAGCATGGATTTTCATTAATATTTTGTAGATTGAAAAACATTTTTGGAAGCAGAATGGATGGCAAAGATGGCTCTGTAGTATTCACTTTTCCAAGCTGACGACAGCTGTGTTGTTACGTGAACTTTTATATGAAATACAGCCAAGAATAGATTTGCACATCCCCATACGTTTACAAATTATTCAGGTTTCATCCTCTATTTTACATTCCTAATGGCTGAGGCAGGCATTTGGTACGTATCTTCCTGTATAGAAATGACAAGTCTTGAAACCATCTGGAGTCGGTTGCTAATGCTAAATGCATGTGCTTCTGGGCTGAATGCTTCGAGATAAAGAGTAATTTTTACCTTTTGGCCTCTTACAGTTTCCAACTCTGCTAAATGGTCACATACCAGTGCCACTCCCCAGTCTGGACGGAGCCTCTTCTCCAGTACTGCTTTCTCCAAATGCTCAGAAATCCTGATGACGCCTCATCACGCCAAGGACTTATTGGTGGATTTAACACTTCATTCCTATGGGCTAGTTTTTCCTGTGTCATGAGAAGGACATTGTGAAACCCTCTATTACTTTGGTTTGCACTTTTCATTACATGGATAATCTACTTTTATTATGTTAGCATTTTTAAACAGTGTTTATATATAAAAGTATATATAAATCTGTTTTGCATTAAATGAATTATAATTTTTTTATATCATAGCTCTCAAGTGTTGAACACTTCTGTTGTTGATGAAGTACTTTTCTTAATGGATTGCAACAATGTATCTAATAAGGATGTGAAGCTTCTTTTTAATCCCTTTTTCTGCATATTATGCATTGTGCTTGTGTAAACTATAACCGGCTGTGCCTTCTTTTGCATAATGTCATGTAAATGATTTATATATTTTCTAGTATTAAGATAAAAAGTTGAAAGACAAAACTAGTATTGAACAGCCCTATGGTAGTATTTCAGTATTTTCTCCACGGATAGGCCATATGATGCAGTGTATTCATGTAACTTTGTATTAAGTGCTTTCAAATTGCATGAAAATAGCCTTGTAATTTTTCTTTGCTGAAGTGAAAAACGTAATCAACGTTACAGTCAGGAGATGCATTTAGGAGTAACAAAGCCACATTTTACACATTGATGCCCAAGTTCTTCTGGGGAGTTGCAACAGGGAGGAACCGGGCTGCGTATATTCATGAGACATTTCCAGCAGTTGAGAATACTTCTGTAGAAAAGGAGACGTTGCTCAGAATTTATTTGGCCGATACTTCTTACGAACTGTCAACATTACAGCTGGAAAGACTGCAGGTATCTCTGTCCTCCCAGGGAATGAGGATCATTCCCGATAGAGAATTTCCAGGTGCTTTGTTCAGTCGTGCCAAGTGCCTTCTACTATTTCCCTGGAAAGATGATTCTAGCTACTAAAGCTCTGAAGGTCACATTTTCCCTTCCCCCAAAGCTGGAAAAGTTACAGGACTGTAAATTAATGCCTGGTGCTTGTAAAGAGGCATACTGTACATGTGGGATGTTTATGTATAAACATCTGAATTCTGGATTAAAACCCAGCACTGTGTTACTCTATACTTGCAACTTGAACTTACTGGGTATGTCCTCTACCTTGAGGTGATGGCTGAGTCATCTAAATGTCAGGTTAGGATTAGGCTAGACTCCCTGGCACCACAGATTCTAATCTTGGCAGGGCTGATGCAAATCTTCAGTTTTCTGAGGTGGCTAAATTGGGTTGAATGCAGCTTTACCATGCAGGATTTTCAGATGAGACCTTCAAAAACCAAACCAAAATCAGAATCCCGTTTGCTACAGGTCATTAGAGCTTCTACTTCGCTTTCTGGCCAAGCGGCTGGTGAAAAGTCTGTTCTTTTTGAAATTCATGCAGTGCGTTGTCTGCTGATTTTCTGTTTGGATGCATTTCAGTGATGATGTGTGTAGTTAATTGTAAAGTGCTTTTGGATCCTTCAACCTGAAAGGTGCTAAATAAACATTTTATTAATGCAGTTCTGCTGTTGAAAAGCCATTTTTGGGGCAGAGGTAGTCTGACAAAAGACAGCAGGAATTTTCCTCAGGCTTCTGGGTTGCACAAGCAAAAATGACTCCTCAGTTTCACTCGCAGTAATTAATGGGATAAAAACCTGCCATGTCTGTATGGAGTACCAGTGCTGATAAACAGAGCAATTCGGTGCAAGATGTAAGGAAAAAGAACAAAACACACGGGAAGTCACTCATTGGAACCCACATTTTAAGAGCTCCAAGAGGTACCACCCCGAGGAGTCAAAACAAGAAGATGAACCTATGCAAAATTTGTGAGTGAAGGGAAATTTTCTACTAAGTAAAATCAGAATAGGTTGCAAGAAAAGGCAGCATGTAACTGATGGGATTGACTAATCTAGTGGAGATTAAATCACAAGGGCTCGCAGGTCGAACATTCCTCTTTCAGTGGATTCCTCCCAGCTACACGGAATATTTTTCAGTAACTAAGTTACAGAGAGGCAATTATTCACACTCTAGAGCCAACTCTCATCTCATTTTTAAATAAGGACGAGTGCCTACTTCAGTAAAGTCTCGCCTTGTACATGCCAGGATAGCTAATGGGAGAAGGAGGCATAGAGATGAAGTGTTTCTCACTATGAATTTAAAAAGCATAGATAGATACTCATGAAAATTTGGTCCTTGACTTAGTAAGAAGTATTGAAAACCACACTGCAAAAAAACCCAGATGAACATGAGAGGAGGGAGTGTGTGTGAGAGAAGAGATTCTTAAAAGAAAAAGCATCCAGATTTGCATGACTTTATTTCTTCCAAGGTTTTACTATTAATAAGGCAGATTTTTTTCTTTTCAAAAGGCTCAAAACACCTCCACACACACCCCCACACCTCCCCTCCCACCCTCCTGCCCCTTAAGTGACTTTGCTTTTCTTTCAAAGAGCAGAAAACAGCAAGTCTGGGACAAAAATCTGTTTCAACAAATTGCAGTAGAGGATCTGAGAGAATCCAATAAAACCTTAGGGACGACACGCAGAAACAGGAAAGTAGTCCTGTCTTCTCATCTCTGAGAGAATAAAAAATAGCAACGGAATCTTCTTTTGCTAGTTGACTTCTCAGTTAAACAAAAAAAAACCCACAAAAGGTTGTCAAAATGAAATCTGCCTTCCAAATTGGTCAATTATGTGGAACAAAAATTCTTCATACTGGGGACAAAATGAAATATTTATACAAAGAAGTCCAGCCTCTGAAGTCTAACACTTACCTAAAACACTAGATTATTATGCCTTATGCTTTGAAGAAAATATTCTATTGGTAATTTTCTATTGAATTTTATTAAGCTATCTTTTTAACTGTAGAGGAAAATCAAATAAATGTTTTTAAAATAAATACCGTGAAAGCGTCAATATTTCTGTGGCATGGAGAGCTCCAAGCCAACAATCCTGGGGAACAAAACAGGAGTTATTCTCTCTTCAGTATTCTTGGTGCTAATTGCAATTTGATCACACTTGAGGGATTTTTTGGATAGATTGACACTTTATTGCTGCTTCAGCAACTCACAAAAAGTTTTCAATATTATATAGGCTGGGTGCACGATTAGGCTATTTTTGGCTTACCTTGACATTGTTTTTTCAGAAAAGTAGGTATCCACCAGTAGGGCCACAGCTACTGGGTAGCTTTGCCAAGAGATTGCACACATCTTCTGTCCTGGCACAGGTCAGTGGCTTCAGTTCTAAAGAAAACTTTAAAGGTGGGTAAAACAGTGACGGGTGATAACCAACTACAGAAAAAAAAAGATGTGACGTGTCCATTACATCAACAAAGAACAATTTGTTTTGTCTGAAGAAAACTAGCCTCATCAGACAGGCACTTGCCAATCTGGAAATACCTACCAAAGAAGTAATGAACTGTCAACAAGATGACTGTTTAAAGAGGAGATTGTCCTTTAAAACAGACCATTGAATTTAATTTTAACAGGAACAAGTCTCTACATTAAGGGGCCGTGTGATCTTGTGCCTACAGGAAGCATCTTTAGAAGCCATCATGACCACCAAATGAATTTAGAACAGGCACAGTAACTACAGGTAGTCTTTTATGTAAGGGCATCGCTGTTCCTTTCAGATCTCAAGACTGTCTCTATATCCTGTAGGTTAAACAAGCACAGGTCGCTCAGATTTAAGCATACCTCTATGAAGTCATCAGAAAACAACTTTTGAAATCCCTTTTAGCCCCAAACTGTAACTGCTCTTACCAATTAATATGTGAGTGCTCTGCCTACACAAATGGAGTCCAAACCTATTTCTTGAGGGCAAAGAGATTGACGGCATTAGTGAGGCGGAGTATAAATTTATTTAAATGAAAAAAGGAGAATGAACCTCAGGCAAGGGCTCTGGAAGAATCAGCATCACAGCCTGCCTTGGGGGGCATATTTGTAGAAAAGCATCCTAGAGGACATGACTTTAGGATATGTGGTTTTTTTCTTGAGAGATTCCCACCAGTTCGTGTTCACTCTGCAAGAGGTGCAAATGGATAAACGAAACCTTAATTATTCCTCATGTGGCTCCAGGCCAGCTGCCTCCTCCTGCAAGTTAAGGAAAAGGACATGGAAGAGGGGGAAAAAAAAATTCTTTGAAAAAAACCCCAAGCTCAGGGTGTGAAAGAGGAGCAGGAGGCAGCGCTGAGGCTGCCATGCAGGGCCTGGAGGGAGGTGCTCCGCAAGAGCACGTTGGAGAGGGGACAGGGAAGAGCATTCTCCCCGGTTTGCAATCCGCAGCGATGGCATTTCCATCAGCAAGAAGATCCCACTGCAGCAAATGAAGGAACTTCATAGCTCTCTGGGGAAAAATGTGTTTCAAGGTATGGCATCCAAGCTGAACAAGTCTCGTATTTCATTAGGAGGATCATAAACACAATCTGCTCAGGCAGGCCTGCTTCTTAAGTGATTTTGGAGGATGCAGCCAGGACAATAAATTAAGCAATTATTCCCATCAGTAAGTATGTGCATATGTATGCATTCACAGCTTAAGTTGGCTCAAAAATTACAGAACTTAAATGGGTTAGGGGATTTTAGAAAACACGTGAAAATAATGGAAAATTTTAACGTACACATTTTTCCACCGACATCAATCTTTTCCTTTCAGTTAAGGGAAGAGGCACAGTACAGCCCAGTGAAAACCACACACAAAAGATTTAAAAAAAAAAAATCTAGAATAGCTAACCTCTAATCCCAGTTCTGACAACACAAATTTCCACTGTGGCCTAGAACAATGGTTTGATTTTTCTGCAACTAAGCTCCACAGATGAAAAGGCTGTACGGCATGAATTACAAAGCCCACATATCTACTTGGCTCTTAGACTTTTCAAAATCATCCTACCTGTACAGCCAGAGCTTACTTTACACTGTACCAATTAGCTATACACTTGTACAGTGCTTCCTTTATGTTTTATCATCTATACTTCTTGTCAGTCTCTTAAATCAGTCTGACATGGATGTTGTTGAAATACATGGATGTTGCTGACCCACATATAGGCTGAAGAGTAGCATTAAATTTCTAACAGTCCAGTCTCTGATATAGAAAAACAAACAAACAAACAACCACCCCCCCCCAAAACCCCTGTAAAAAGTAAGCATTCAAGTTCCTCCCCAAATTTAAGAAATTTCATAGAAATGTTGCATTTGTTTCAAAGCCAAACTTTACTAAGGGAAAAAAGGTATTGAAATGTGCTAATGACGTGCACAAATTATTTCAGCTCTGCCCCTTAGTGACCAGATAAAATGACCAAATGTCTGTGACCACGTGTTGTCACAGACAAGGTAAGTTCTAATTTTTCTTCAGTGTCACTATAGGCTACAGCTGTGCATTTCCACACCCCAATCTGTTCAGATTTCTTTCAAATCCGACCTTAATTCTGGGTATTTCCTGGGTTTATAATACTTAGCTTGGGGATATTTACAACATACCTTTCATATATTTTGTCCTCAGTAACTGAATGTATTCTTAACCTTAATTCCCTCTTAACGTTGCAAAACAGAAACAACGCACCTTTCTTACATTGAAAAACTCATGCGCAAACAACAAGCAAGCAGCCCAAAGAATGCGACCTTGCAGTTTTTCAAATGATTTGCAAATACAAAGTATGTTGATTCTTTAATAATTGTTTATTTTAACTTTTATTGCCCAATTCAGGGATACACTCTGGCTACTTAATGCTGTGGTAAAGCAGCACAAAAATAACACAGCTGTGTTGAGATGCATGTTCCACTAGAGCACTGCTGAGCAGCTGGTTTGCCCCTTCCGTCTCCCACTCTGTCCTGTCCTGTGAGTTCCCGTCCTCCACCCACCCTTTCCCCCCTTCCACCTTCCACCTGCATGTGCACGCAACCTCATCACCACCTGCCTCTTTCCTCTCTTCAAGCCCACCTTAGTCCTACACACACCTTGGCATTCCTACCCTGGGGTAGATGGGATACACCGGCTATCTTCTAAAAAACATTACTTAATCAGCAACAACTTGCAGGCCATTTCTCATTAACTGATCACTCATCTTCAAGCCAAGGTTGTCATGCCAAATCTTGAAAGTCATCCATTTTTAGTGACTATCTGCTGGGTTTTCATCACGGGTGTGGTCTTCTCCCAAAACGGCCAACAATCCCTACAGTTCTTGGGGACAGTGAAGCCAAGTCCGTAGCGCCTGATGCTGTCAGACAGGAGGCGGAACACTGAACTGCATGAAAAGGATGTCAGAGAAATGCCCAGCGACTTCAGACTCGCTGACTACTGCCCCAAACAGGCAGCTGCCACAGAATTGTCTCTGCTGATGTAGGAATTTCAATTATAGATAATTAAAAAAAAAAACAACCACCAAATTGGCTTGACCACAGATGCCAAGTTTCTTAAGAAATACAGTCTTTAAAGCTACCTCCCAATGAAAACGAATTCACTTGTAGGTCCTTAGGGGGAAAAAAAAAAAAATCTCTTTATAAATAGAGTGCTTTAATTTTATGGAAGATCTTTTCATCTGTAACAAAAAAGCTGAATTCCTACTTGAAATGGAAACCTCCTTTTGTTAGCTGCAGCTGATCCCTTTCTAAATTTATTAATGCACTTCATTTTACCAGTTAAACCTTTAAGTCCTTTACTCATTAGTGTCACATTATTACTTGTTCTTTTATGACCTGTAAAATATTACTGTTCTAGAAATGCTAAATCCCACATTTATCCACAGTGAACGTTCACTCTATATCTTCACTACTTCTGTAAAAAAAGGAGAGGTTTTTCTGATACTTCTTTCTTCAACACCATCACGTCTACAACATTATTTCCTACAAAGTTAATCAGTATAAAATCTAGATCAGATCCATAGCTACTATAAAAAAATATATAACAACTATTTCAGGACAAAGGTTTTTCATCAGTGCCAAATCTGCCTCTGACACACACGTCACGGTCCCACTGGTACCAGTGGGAGACCCCCGCATGTATCCAAGACACGTATTACGCTCCTAGACCTAGGCAAGACTTCTGATACCGTGTGACATGCAGGATTTGCTTGCTAATAATCAGACTACGGACCATGTTTACAGTAAGATCCTGATCGGCCTCAGTCACGGATGAGTCGCATTACTTTTCACTGCCACTACTTCTGGTTGCATGAATTAATAAGCAGCCCAAGTTAAAACTGATGACTCCCACAACACACAGATCTAGCTAAACATTTCCAACAATGCCCCAAGAACCGCAAGTTCACTTAGTCTGTATTTTTAACAACACAGGGCCTTTGTTATTATAAATTTCAAAACAAAACCAAAGAATTCCACATAATATTTATACTTTCAAAAGTACAATATTAATACAGGTCGGTCAGTTAGAAATAACAGCAGTTTGTTAGGTCTACAAGATTTAACGTAAAACCGGTTTACAAATGCTGAAAAGCAGTAGTGGTCCAATAGTCACCATTACACATGAATTTCTCTCTCCCAGAAAATAAAAAAAATCCCAATTCAAATTTACCAGTATCAATGAAATATTAATAAAACACCCCCAAACATGCCACAATCACTATTCACAAATAAAGTTAAAATGAAATATACAAAAATTCACTTAATACTGTTAAATAACAATAAACTACAAGATTTCCTGAACAGAAATGGTAGGACCCCTGAATGTTTTACAGTGAATGTCAGGAAAAATTAAGTTACCTATGACTATTTTCATGATATACCAGCCAAAGATTTACATGACCATTTCAAAATATACCAATAAAGATTTACAGTCTCTTTAAGATGCACTAAACAAATAGGTTCATAAAGGTGAACACAAATGCTTAAAAATACTGTAACCATCACCAAGGGTGTACTTATGATACTCACTGAGATGCATAAGCATAGTAGTAACATGTTTACTATCTCTGGTAAACAGATAACATCTAAGATCTGAAAAACTTGCTAAGTTCCCATTGTAAAAGCTCTGTAGTATAGTGAGTTCTTATCAAGTACAAACTTGCATCTTTCCAGTTGATTTCAAGTGAATAATGCACAAATGGGACAGCAACAAGGTGGGAAAAGTGTGACGTTATTCCCATGTTCTTGTAATTAGTTGTCCTGTTCCTCTGTAACAAAATTCTCAATTTCAAAAGTAAGCCAGGGTCCAAGGTATATGAATCATCTTTTTACTATTTGTATTTCTATGTTAAAAACAAGGTAAAAAAGTCATCGCTTCTGCAGGCCCCGTGTGCACAACAATGTGCAAATATCTTATGCTGGAGTAAGCCTGACAAAATTTATCATCCAGTCTCCATGCTCTAATTTATCAATAACTAAGTAGAATCTGAGAGCAAATAGTTACTGTTCACTTGTTTGAATCAACTTTCACACCATGTGCTTTTCAAAAACATAATATGCATTATAATTTTTCAACTATTTCAACACATACTTCCAATGTTAAATAAGGAATTAAGTGCCATGAACTTAGAGCATTAACGATGGTTCACCTATAGCCAAGCAAAGCTATGTTTACATTCCAGGAAACACTGCAGTTTAAGAAATACAAAAAAACCCCGCAGCAGTAGAACATTTTATGAAGAGAAACAGATGCATTCACATATTATAAAGCCATTGCAACTTCTTCAGGCATGGAACTGTTGTGTTAACTATACAGACAGTAGTTATTTAGCAGCAATGATTCCGCAATAAATAATGCACTGTGTTTCTCAGTCCTGCACAAAAATTGCAGCTACAGTTACATCAACAGCTGTAACCTACTGGCTCTAGTGGCAGAGGAGACCTTAAAACCAACTGTACAAAAAATTGTCACACTGTGACAACAAATATAAAAACATAATCTGCAGGTTGGAAATAAAAAGACTCCACTGTGAAGAGGACAGTGTAGACAAACTGCAATTCCAAGTCCACCAACAGAGAGCACTGCCTTCAGATCCGAGTCCTTGATCGATAGGATAGGCTTGGGCTTGACTCTGCATCGCCCACTTTAAAAAAGCATGCTCTGCCTTCTGTTCTTCCCATGTCCTACAACAGAACAAGGACCATGGTAAGAAACTGAAGCATTCACACAACAGAGTATTCCGTTATTATCCACATCTTCTGTCCTTCTATTTCAAGAGCATATTCTTTGTGCTTAAACCAGTATCAGGATCTTTCTTTTAACTGCCCTTGTTGCACTTCTGGTTTGTTTTGGGTTTTTTTTTTTTTTTTTTAAAACTTTGCCACCATTCACCCACACAGTAATGGTCTGAAACTCCAAGACATTCTCATATTAACAGCCCCCCTGCCCATCCCTAGTAAAACTCATCTCCTTCTGTGCATTTAGCTTATATGTCTCTACAGGAATCTGAACAAATCATTCTTGATATTTGTTTGAGTACATTCACACAGACCAATTTAGCAAAGTATTTTTCAGTTCTGAATGTCTCTGGCACAGCCTTCCATTTGCAGATATGAGAAAAGATTAAGCTTTCCATACCTGTCTCTGGGTAAGTGGAATTTCGAAAGCCAGGGTCTTTTTGCAACTGAATCTCTTTTAGACTGAATATTGAAACACCTGGAATGCAACAAAGAAATTAATTCACATCCAAACGTAACTATGCATTATTGAACAAAGTTCTACTCTTAATTATACAGTTTAGATAAAAAAAAAAAGTTTACTATTCCCAAATATTTAACTCAACATATACCAGACTTCTTTAATAGATTAGACTTCAGAGTTTTTCCTTAAGCAATGTACTTAGCTTTAATGTACTATCTCAACAATACTCTGCTACTTTACTATTCCTCTTACTTTCAGGCAAAGTGTGTATTCTTGTTCCAAGACTTCTGAAGTATGCATGTTTCATGGCCTCCTCTGCTGAAATTCTCTTCTTCGATTCATACTATTAACATAAAAGGATACAAGTGTGTTGGTTTTCATTAAAAAACTCTTGGCATCAAGTGATTTCATCAAAGGGAGAAACAGAGTTCTACTTGCTCAGTATTTCCCGCCAACTCACTAGGACAAATTTGTTTTCATTACTTTTATTTCACACATGAAAATCTAACATACATTATCTAAATCAGTATTATCAACATAGAACAAGATTGCTAAAATAGCCAAAATAACTGCTGTAAATGGATTTAAGTCAAAAATATACTTAATCTTTATTTATAGATGTAACAATGATTAGATGACAGACTTCTGTCCACATTATATTCTAATATTAAATTGCAATTAAATGCTACTACATGAGAACACAAAAGTTTTCTAATTCGATGGACTATGCTGCAGAGTTTTGCATAAAATGGAACTTCAGACAACATGGTCTTCAATCTGTGCTCAAATGTCTCCTGCTTGGCATATGAGGACATCTGGACAAAGATGCAGACATTTAAAAAGCTGTATACAAATAAGAACAAAGTCCAAACAAGGACTGCAAGTACTGTTCTGACACAATGTGTAAACAGCTGAAGACCTGATGTAGAATTTAAATCACAGGCTGCAAAGCAGAGTAACTGCACTCCACCTTAACGTACTAAGAATTTATAATGCCATGAAGTTAAGTGCTTCTGCATCTACTCAAAAACTTAAGAGTTGGCCTTCCATCTTGCTTCCCCTCTTCTCGCTTCTGGCTCATTTTTAATACAGATTAAAAGATGAAACCCACATACCACTTCACTTTTTGAATCCAGTTTGCAAGATCAAAGAGTACCTTACACCTTAGTAACTGCTTCTCTAGAAGTAAGCTAAGTTCATCATTACAGAAATTTAGTATCTGTATTCAGAAGTTCTGTTTTAATACCATATTTCACAAGAAATTTAGTTTTTTCAGGGAATTGCTAACATAGAATCAATTCTACTTTTACAAAAAGTAGTAAGAGAAGAAATCACTTCGGGGGCGGGGGGGACGGG